TGGTACCGGAGAAAAACCAAAAAAAAAAAAAGAATTTTATATTAACAGATTTAATCCTTCTGTGATCCAAATACACAGTTCCAAATCAGATATTTTTGGGGTATAGGATGTAACACTATGAGTACCATACATGCCTAGCATGTGTAAGGTGCTGGGTTCAATCACCAGCACCACAAAATAAAAGAAAATAAACAACTGCATAAAATCAGATGTATCCTTTGATAATAAATCCTGGGAGCAAGGACTGGCACACTTACAGAATCAATACTTTGCATAAACATTATGGCAGCTTTTTCTGCTTGATCTTTATCAGGGAAGAACTGGCAGTCTTTTTCATACAGTTGTGTAGTAGAATCTATCCTACATCTTCTAGTTATGCAGCTATCTGCTTGACACTTGTGAACACTGTTTGTCCCAGAGATGCCAGAGGAACATCTGAAAATAAGTGACAGTTATTCTTTGAGACAACTTAGTCATTAATGCTTAAAAAACTTAAGTGTTTCAATTCATGATGAGGTTTATAACAAGGTGTCTCATTTGTGTGTTCCATTTATTTCCTATGCACATAACAAATTTTAAGAGTTCCAGTCAAACCAGTTATTTATTTTTCAAGAGCATAATTTGGAACATTTAAGTGATATACATGACTGAGTTCTCGCATGTAATTAAAGCTGCCAGGCTGTTGCTTACGCATCTCTGCTGCTGGCCTTATGTTGGTGAACGCACTGCAGGTACCTGGATGAGGGAAGTTGTGAAACCATTTCTCTGAATACTACCTTAGCTTGATGTTCTCTACAGACTTCTCAAAAAGATAGTCCCCATAAGTGGGGTAAGGCAGAGCTACAAGTGTTTGGATTATTCAAGGGCATTCTTATCCAAAAGGAAGTGTGACCAGAAGCAAATTGTGAGGTACTCTCAAAAAGGTCAGTAGAATAAAGAATGATGGAGGCATTTCAAATTTGTGCTTGCATGGAACTGGCAACAGATTGCAATGGTTATAGCGGATACACAGGGATGTGGTTGTGGCTCATCTTTCCCATAGATTTTCATCTGCAAGTCATATAGTGATGACTAGATTTCCTTTAGTCATTTAGACAGTCTTCTAAACATGTCTATGCTTCTATTTCCCCAAACTTGTTAACATAATGGTGCCACCTATGTGAACACTCAATGAATACTGTAGGTTAGAAAAAGCTATTTCAAGGGATATGACATAAACAAATGTAATAAATGAAATACTTTTCAAACTATATCCCTAAAAACTGCTGCAATAAGGTTGACAAAGGGTCTTCAGTGAAACTGTGTACTTTTCAGTTTGCACCTTTTTGACAGTTCCTAACTGCAGCAGGACATAACAACATGAGGTTGATGGTACCTGATTTTAAATGAATTCACCCACAGTTTTTCTCTCTGCACCTCAGAATCAACAAGGACAGTTTATTATTAACTGTGATTTGAGACTGATATTTTCACAGAACTCCAAGAAGTTCCTAGTTAGCTTCTTGAAGCTGCTGAACCATTCAGCATTTTTTGTTTATTCTTGGTGCAATGAGAACAACTTTAATCTTCTCCCAGTGGATAGCAAGTCCATCTATGTAGTATCGCTGTTCAGTCAAAGTGAGTGCTGGCAGCTATAGTAGGCAGGTAAGAAATGTGTCAAATTGTCAACAGACACTTCCCATTGAGGTTGTGTGTATTTTGAATGGACAATCAGCTGCATTAAGATAAATTTTCTAAAAAGGTAAAAGCAATTTTGTGATTTTGTATCTATCATTTGCATTGGGGCAAATGAAAATTATTGTCATTTATAGTAAGTCAGAGTAAAGAGAATAAAATCAATTAAAAATTAAGAAAATTCAAGGAACTATGCCTTGTGGCTTCAATCTTCTTTGACTTGCTCAGGTAGAAAGGCTGATCTTCATTGTATTCATCAAACACCCCCCAGCGGAGATGGGCCCACTCGTGGACAAGTAGTCTCCCTGTGGGAAAACATTTCAAAAACATTCAAATGACAAACTCTATATCCCAAAAATTTTAAGAAAATCTTTCATTTACAGCAATATTTACATTTAGAGTTTCCATGAACCCTGATGTTTGTATTTTTGTTTAAAAAAGGAGCCTATGGATTAAATAACATTATTTTGTTACTTCATACATTATATTTTTATTCCGCAACATATTGAATGAAAACATGTGTGGAATACATTTTATGTTCAGAGTGGACTAGTATTTGGGTTTCTGTTCTTGAAGATCAAAAGGTCTTATATATTACAATGATTTGTGGATCTCCAAACTGGGACCCTACCAGCAACATATTCAGATACACAGTAATTCTATTATTTTAAGATACCTTGTGGATTGCTATATGAAAAAAATTTTTCAAAATGGTATTGATAAATTTGAGAAGGAAGAAAAGAGTAAGAAACACTATTGTAGACCAAATAGCCTTTCAGGAATTTAAAAATGAAGTGATTAATTATGGTCTATATAACATTATTTATGTAAAACCATGTTTTCAATATTTAGTGCTATATAAGGTATCAAGAAATATGAAGACACAGAGCAGTATTTAACTTGGAGATATTTTTGCAGAAGGAGTTAGGATAAAATATTTTTCACAAGAATTTCCAGGGAATGGAAGAACAAAAGTGAATCCACCATTTGAGATACAGAAAAAAAAAAATAGAACTTTTATTTTAGCGATGTTGGGGAGAACTTCAGAGGAAATGGAAATGGAGAGAGACTGAAAATGAAGTCGGTTCTGCCACAATGTGTGCTTCCCTACCTCAAATAACCTCATATGAGATCTGAAAGTAGAAGAGAAGTATCAGTAAAAGGGGAGAAACTCAAGGCTCACCTCTAAGCACTTCCCACTCATAATGTGACCCAATGCAGGGGCATCAGCATCCCGGGAAGCTCATTGGAAATACAGTCCCAATCCCACTGAAAGCTACTGATTGAGAGTCTGCATTGGAACAAGTTCCCTGTTATTCCTTTACACACTGCACTTCAAAATTCATGGTTTAATTTCTTTGTAAACAAAGCCAGGTTAATGACAGTGGGACAATAACCTTTGTAGTAGAAGGTAAAGTCATGTCAGCTACTGCAACATGAACTCAGTAGATTTGAAGACTATGTAAAGTCACCTTCCCCTGCTGCTCCTTTCTTAGACAGGTCCGCTCCTGGACATGCTCCCCCTTGGCCCGCCTCGCCTCCCATGCTCACCTGGAAATCAGACCTCTGTCTTAGAATTCTGTTCCCATCTACATGGATGTCTCATTTCTGGCTACCTGGTTCTTAGTCTAGTAGCATTTGTATGTCTGTTTATGTGTGTGTGTGTGTGTGTGTGTGTGTGTGTGTGTATACCCACACTCTTAATATCAGGTTTTGCAGCCTCCAGCCACACAGAGTTGCTGCTTCCAAATGATCCTTCTAGGGACCTATTCTTATTGTTGTTATAATTGTTACAAAACTGCGTACATTTTGAGGGGTTTCTTCCTTATCTTATTTTCCCAAAGACTTGTGCTTTTTAGGTCATGGTTTGCAAAGTGCGAGTTTTAGAAACACGTATATTACCTGACAGAATAAAGACCTGTCTAAGAGGAAGGGCGGGACCTGGCATCAATGGATGAGGGCTGAAGTAGGAGGAAAGATCAAGAGCTCAGATGGAGATTTGGATTTAAAAATTGGGAGAATCTTCCTCTTCTATCCCAGCTGGAGGTAGTAGATAGAGACTGGCTGAGTCATTGAGTACTGGAGATTTAGCAAGTCAAATAATTGCCAAGCATGAAGGGGTAGAGGAACAGACCTATTTTCTGTTTGCTGGACATGCTAGGGAGAAAGAAGGAACCTCTGGGAGGATTAAAGGGATGCAGAGAACAAAAGACTTAATGGATAGCTAAGATTAGAATAGGAAGGGATATGGTACTTCTAAGCTTGGCATGAGGAACCAGTCTGCATAATGGTGACAGGGATGGGTGAGCTTTGGCAGAGACAATAGAATGAATGAATGCCCACCTAACAGGCATTAGAAGGGGAGAGATGATTCTGAAGTATGAGAATTCATAAAAATTTTTATTGAAAATGACATATGAATTGGCTATCCTTACCAATGATTTGCCTTTTTAAAATAATGTGCTTTAACTTTTTAAAAAGGGCCATAACTTTTAGATTGAAGTAGTTGAAATTATGGTTTCACTAGGTTCAGATAATAAGTTAGAGATAATTTCTTTTACCACAAACAAAAATTCACACAACTCTATCAGCAACTAACAGCCTATGAATGTTTTCTCTTGACCAGTAAGTGGTATCATGGCTGTTTCCAGTTTACTAAATACCTGAAATCTATGGAGCTGGCATCTGAGTAATTAATATGCAGCTGTGGTGATGTGGAAAATTATATCTAAAAAGTATGCTGTGACAAAATATTTTTTATTCCCACTCTCTGTGAAAATTTGTAAAGACCCCGTTACCCACTGCATTAAGTATATTTACATAGATTATCTAGTTCAAAAAATTGCAAAACTTAGGAACTCTCTTCACATCTCAATGGGCATTAGCTTTGATAAAGAAAATCGTTTGTTTAGTTCACATAAAACTCATACACTGGAGAGCCAGGATTATAAACAAGGGCCTTTGGATCTAAAGTCTTTTCATTTAACCTAAGGACAGACCTGCTTGTTAAACGTTAGATATTTGACCAAATATCCTACCTGATGGTCCATATTCACTTTGGTTTTTGCCCAGAACAAAGTTAGGGGTGAAATGAATGTATTCTGCTTTTTCTCCACATTCTGTGAACTGCCTGGTGTAAGGTCCATCTCTGTTTGTGAGGGTCGGTGGTGCAACTATAACATCAGCCTGAGAATGTTGAAAAAGATTGTTAAACATTAAGAACAGCAATGAAAGTATTTAGTTAGAATGAATCAGAAACAATAAATCTGTGGCAAAATCAGGGAGCATCAGAAAATTTTCCTTTCTATTAGGGACTATTGTGGCACTTACGTGTTTGTAGCTCTCATGTTTTGGCCTCCTGTATTGAGGATTTCCCTCCCAAGTCTCAGGAATCAATATAGACACATTTTTGAAAAAAAATCTTTTTTCTGTGGCTTCAAAGAGGTAAGTAGATGCTGTGGTCACCATGTCCTGTTATCAAAGGGAAAAAGTACGTGAGGACAGCTGAGTGAGAGTGGACTAAGGGAGGAATGGCTCATCTCAGGCATTTCCCACCTTGAATTGTTCATTCAAGAACAACTGACTTATGAACAGCCTCTCTGCCCACAACAGGGGCTCTCCCACCTGTCAGGCCTGAACTATCAGCTCATCCTGCCCAGTGAACTGCTCTTTAGTCTTCAGTCCTCTTATATCAAAGGGCAACTGCTTCCGGATGGTGTTTACAAGAATCGGTTAATGTGAATATGAATATGGACTTTGCAGTCATCTACTTGGTTCCAGTAGTAGCGTTAGCACTTTCTACATAGCAGATATTGCTTGCTTTTTGTAGTACTCTGAAATTCAGCTTCCTAACCTCTTAATGGAGCACTGCTACACTACTTATCTTTCTTAGCATTTGGAGGAATGACTTAGAAAATATTCTACCAATAAGCAGTGTAAAATTGATAAAATTTCTGATTTAAAAAACCCAAGTAAAGAGCTGCTTTAGCTGATACAAGCTGAGAAAGATCTTCTGTTTGAATAGGTGTTAGAAGGGGTTTTCTTCTTCTTGACTGACTTACTCTTAGGAGAAGCAACTAGTTTGGGTACCTGGTGGGTGGAGTTGTGGAAAAGTCCATAGAGGAGGTAAAATTTTGGTCATAGAACTGTTACAATGCTACCAAGCTGAGAGAAATTGTGAACCTAAAATTAGCATGATTAATAGGAGAAATTGCCCCTCCCTCCTTAAAGCCTACTATCTAGTGGAAGAAATAGATGGGTGAAAGGCACTTAGGATAACTGGCTCTGTGGATAAAACCCACTAATTGAGGAGACAGAAGATTATGTCATCTTCTTCATCTTGCTGGAGTATCCCAGTCTACAGTGCTGTTTCTTCAGGATGGGCTCCTCCACAATGATTAATACTCTAACACAAGCCCACAATAGAACTCTTCCACATGAATTCTGTGCTGCCTTCCTGGTTCTCCTTAGGAAAGTCCAAAGTATTAATTCACCTTTACAGTACAAAGTCAGCAAACGTAAAAGCCAGAGTTCAGAGAACTGAAAACTGACCAGATTAGCTTAGAGTTAGGAAATATTTGGGGAGACCCAAAATAGGACATAATGACCTAAGATAGATAAAAAGAAGTCCTTTTCTTTCCTAAAGATATGTGTCTCTCATTCTCATCCATCTTTTTTCTTGCTTTCTTTCTTTCTTCTTTCTTTCTTTCTTTCTTTCTTTCTTTCTTTCTTTCTTTCATTCCTTCTTATAATATGCTTTTAATATACATTATAATATATATTTTCCTGTGTTGATGAGATGTATATGCAACAATTATTTATCAGAATTTGTAGATAAGTTTCTGCCTGGTTCACATGTCATTGTTAAAGTCCTGTACATTTCTCAGATTTCTGTTCTTAATTTTGATACTCCTCTATCAAGTTTCTGTTCTTTTCATTCTTAAATTGCTAGACACCTTGTCTGCAGACTTACTGCCTGCAAACTTTCTTTCTTTCTTCTTTCTTTCTTTCTGTTTGATGTCTATCTACATGTCATTTCTTTCTGTTTGAAGTCATAGTTGTCTGTGCATATGAGATTAAAGTGCATTTTGTGGTTCAAATTGAGTTTTGATTAAATAGATTAGGTTGCAGTATATGATTGTATGGATTGTGTTATACAACTCCAAAGGACTACATTTACTTTGGAGTTTCCATGATCAAAGTTACTCTGTTGAATAGAGAAATATTCATAGGCCATGGGTTGATTTCAGAGACTTTATTTGTCTATTGTCAACCCCTGGCAGTAACGTTTCTCAAAGATTTTTAAAGCAGAATTCCTATAATATTCCTTCTAAATTCCTTCTCAAAATTTCAAAAATATTCTAGCTACATTAAAGAAAGTGAAGATATCAGTGTTGCAAAAGTAGTTACTTTCAATCAAGAAGAAACATAAGCACAAAAAAAAGGAAAATTGAAAATTGGAGATCTCAGGTAATGAATTCTATACCAGTTGAGCATAAATCTTACTACAGTTAGATAGTACACCTAGGAATAGGATTAAAACTACAAATTGGTTCACCAATGCATCTTCTTTTCTTCCTTCCTTCCTTCCTTCCTTCCTTCCTTCCTTCCTTCCTTCCATCTGAATGTGCTACTTAATGTGACCCTGGAAAAATCATTTGTTTTTTTAGTTCTTATGTTTCTTTTTTGGTATAATGTAGATGATAGTATTTCATGAGGTGACTTGATGATATAAATGCAAGCACTTTATAGAAAGCTGAACATCAAGAAACAGTGTGAGGGGAAAGCCTAAATGGTGGAGTAGCAATCAGAAACAAAATGCAACCTCCTAAGGACCTGGAATCCAAACACCTGGAAAATAACAACTTGGCAAAAAGAAATAAAGAGGTAGATCTCTGGGATTTGGGAGGAAACTGAAAGGAAAATTAGAAGCTGTAAAGAAGCTGGAGAAATGGACCACAGTGCAGAGAAATGAATGAAACAATATAGAAGCTTACCCCAGCTCATGTAGATCTTGTCTCCACAGACATAAAGTGAACCCCCAGGTTCAATAGCTCCAGAGAGAAACAATGGACTGAACCAGCAATACCAACCCCAAGAAAAAAACCCATGACTATTGTAAACTGCAAGGGCTTCCTGAGGTTTTACCCTGAAAGTGATGTCTGTCACATGGAAGGCAACAGTTGGAGAAGGAGTCCAGTACAGTGCCTGCCATATTACCCGAAGGTGTTTAATCAGGCACTGGGTTCCTTCTCTAACTGTTGCCTGCTATGTGCAAGGAGTCACTTTCAGGGTAAAATCCCAGTGAAGCCCTTCCATTGATGAATCTTTCAAATTTTACTTTTTTAATTCTCCAGTTTTGCACTCTCATCTACCTTTGCTAATATAAGTATAAAGCTTTATGAATCATTAGGTAGCTAGTTAACGCTATGCTATTATTGTTGAATACTATTCTATTGTTAGTGGAAGTAAAAGAGCTCCATTTAGTAGACATTTACTATAGGCCAATATCTGATTTGTCATAATGTTCATATTATGATTATTTATCTTTTTTCTATGGTTAAGTGTGGTACATTTTTGATAATTAGGGTATGTCAATATCTAGTTTGTCTTTTATGAAATTATTTTTTGGTGGTTGGTTTTTTCTGGTACCGGGAATCAAACTCATGACCTTGTGCTTGACAGGCAGGTGCTGTCCCTCTGAGCTAAATTCCCAGCCCCTTTTATGAAATTATTATTGATGATTTTATTACTATAGTGACATATAATAGTTGTTGCTAATAATTCGTCTTCTCTGGATGCCAATATCTGGATTACCTTTGTGTCATTAACAATATTGAAGTTTGTTCCCAGGGAACTGGGTAGTATGTCAGATATGCTGCACTCTCTCTTCCTAAACAAATACAGGTGGTTGGATCCTGGGACAGAGGTAAAGCTCAAATAGTTAGCCATGCTCAGAAAGCCTTGCTAAAAAGCAGATATGAGAGCAGGGAGTGGTGGTGCATGCCTGTAATCCCAGCGCTCAGGAGGCTGAGGCAGGAGGATTGTGTAAGTTTGACACCAGAGTGGGCTACAAAGTGAGCTCAAGGTCAGCCTGAACTGCATAGCGAGACCCTGTTTCAAATAGCCAAAGAAAGAAAGAAAGAAAGAAAGAAAAAAAGCAGATATTAACCAAAGTGGTCTCCATACCAGCTACAAATCTTTCCCCTATAATCCATCTGAAAGCCTAGCTCAAAACTGAAACGAATAAATAAACAAAAAGACAGAAACTGGAGAAGACAAGGCAAAAAAATGCCTCCCTGAACTCCTGACTCCTCCAGAATTGATCTTGTGGCATCTAAGGGAAGGAAATCAAAAGCAACACAGCCGAATTACACAAAAGAAACAGAGATGATAACCAGATCAATAAGGCACTTGGTGAGCTCAAAGAAGATGTGACAAAACAATCAGTCTATAGAAGACACTAATGAAAAGCTAGTTGAGTTAAACAAAACAATAGAAAACATGAGTGACCAACATAGAAAGGCAGTAAGAGTCCATAGAAAGACACTAAATAGAAATTCAAGAAATTAAAAATTGTGCTGAAAGTATGGGCAAAGGAAGTGAACAGTGTGAGGACAGAGTTAGAAGACAGAGCTGTTGTTAGTGATCAGTTAATGAGATACCTTAAAAACAACAACAGAAAATGAAAAATAGATCCAACAGCTGCTAGATGACACAAAAAAGCTAATCTAATTTTAGTTAGAATTACTAAAAAATCAGAATACAATAAAAATTGGAGGAAAACTTATTTATTGAAATAAAACAGAAAACTTTCCAAAGTTTGTTAAAGAATTCAACACATAGATAATTGAGGCATTTAAAACCTACGTAGCTATGATCAGAAAAGAATCTCTCCACAACACATCATGGTCAAAATGTCAGAAACCCAACACAAGAATAAAATCTAAGGGTGTTAGAGAAAAACAAGAAATCACACATAAAATTAAATCCATTAAAATTATAGCAGACTTTTCTACACAAACCAAGGTCAAGAGAGCATGAATAAAGTGTTTCAGGCTCTGAAAGGAAACAATTTCCAACTCAGATTGATATATCCTGAAAAATTACCTTAAAAAATTGATACAGAAATAAGATACTTCCATGATAAAAATCACCTAAAAATTCAAACCAGCACTCCAAAAAATTATTTCTGTCCTAGAAAGAGACAGTGAAGCTGACACTGACAAAAGGGTTAATAAAATGAATATACCAGGTAGGGTGAACAGTTAAAGGGAAAGGAAGAGAGTTGGCAACAGAATGGGCTCAATTACCCAATCAAAAGACACAGATTGGCAGAATAGATGAAAAAACAAAACTAATGGTGTGTTTTATACAAAAACCACATTAAACCCCCAAAGAAGTTCATATACTAAAATATTAAAAGCTAGAGAGCAATGTTCTATGCAACAGGAACTCAAAATCAAACAGGT